GGTTTGCTTCTAATAATTTTTATACATAATTCAAATAAGTTTCGGAATGAATTAAATCATTTTTTATTTTAATAAAAAAATTTATTTTCAAAAATTTTTTTCATAAATCATAGGAAAGACATTAGATTTATAATAGAAACAAAAACTATATACATATATTTATGAGAAATGATCTGTTTAAATTTGAGAAAAAAATATACTTACCATCCTGTACTTGAAAGTATTGAATTATATTTAGCAAGAAAAATAATAATCGCTTTCACTCAAAATTAGGTTACTCAAAAGAGGAAGTAACACGTTTCAATGCAAAGCAATTATTTAAAAGTGCAATAGCACGTCGACACTCTCTCACAAGTTTATGGTGGCCGGGACCGGGCATTCAGTATTTATATGAAACAATGACGTCAAACCAGAGCACGCTAATTATATAATGATGTTCTACGACAGGTGATAACTGACCTGGTAAATCAGCTAGACATGACACATCGATGATCTATCCTGGGTCCTACTACGATGCTCCTTGTTTTGCTGGCCTTGAAGGTGTTAACTTTGCTACAAGGAAACCCCATCAATGCTTGTCTATTTATGCATAAAATATTGATAATTTAGTATGTCAATTCGCGCATGTATTTAGAATTACTCAAAATTATCGCGCAAATATACGCTTATTGAAACAAAGCGACAGAATCATTTTGACGTTATTTTGCTGATATGTTCTAAAATATGGCTTTTTATTATCTAGATTTAGTATCTTGCTTGTGTCCACGATGTATTTCCTGATTCATAAAGTATTTTATTTAGATAAATTTATATCATTTTTCTTTATATTTTTTATTATAACATTATTGTATTTTTTAACTTTATTAAAATTAAGAACAAATTTAGAAAACTATATTTTGTTTTTAGCTAATATTTTTTTTATAACGAAAAAGTAATAATTATTCAAAATAATTATAGAATTATATAATTATAGAAGTATATATACAGGATTGCTTCTATATCAAAAGCGTAATATTGAAATAACCACGCATATATTTTATTATCGTAATATATTGTCAATTATTGCAAATTTAATCGAAATAAAAATAAATTTCACATAATTTCTTCTATTTTTAATTCGTTATACAGGTCATATTCTTGCGAAATATTTCATTATCCAAGATGCAGTGGTTAGATTCTCACATGATGCATGACATAAGAGAGAGAGCTATCTTTAAAGCCACATTATACATTGTTACATCACAACGCATATGAAAATTTAATCTTGTTCTAATCAATATTGAATAATAATTCGTTTAAAATACGTTCTCTTCTTATTAATGCAATAAAAAAAAAGTTTAAGTTTGGTCCCTCGATAAAATAACGATGTAAATCTTTGTTTAATTTCATTTTCAGCATTTATTCTATTTTGTGATAAAGTATATTTATATGTGAATTAATTAATATAAAACAAATGGAGAATGTGATGAACTTATATTAAATTTCATGAATGTATTGTTGCTTAATTTTTAATTTTATTTTCATTCTTTTATTCTTAATTAAAAATTCTTACTTTTTACAGTTTAAAATCACTAAAAATTAGGAAAGGACAAAAATCGCGAGTCATTCATCCTTAAATATAATCCAGGACTCGAGAACTCGCGAAAGCGAATGTATGTACATCGTATTTCTGTAGCAAATAGTCTGATTTATTTATTTTTCTTTATTAAGTATTTTTATTATACTAAACAAATTCTCGTGTCTAGCATGATTTCCTTTAAAATGTGACAAGGCACATAACGGATAATTATTCTATGGAAGGACGGTTTCTGTTTTTTTTTTCTTTCAATTTAGATGGTAGACTCAGCTTCCTCGTGCACAGATTCGCCGCTTTCGGTAGTTTCGCTTTTTGATCTGAAAGAAATTATCAGATAAGGATTTCTACGGGCTTTAGCTGGATATGAAAGACTAAATACGGAAGAGAAACGAATGTAAAATAATTTACGCTAGGTGATAATTGTACAATCTCAGGATTGTATGATTCGCATCGCTTATGAACATATGTGTATAAGACATGTCAGGGTCTGTACGATTTAAGAATTTCAAAATCTAGATTGCAAGGTAGGATTATGAATCAAGCCGTTTATTTCGAAAAAAGTGTAATTTAAATTCTGCAATATCAAGAATTAACGAAGATTACATCATTGCTTTTATGCAATTTTAATATCTATATTATGTTTATATAATTTTCGAAATAAACGATCCAATCAACTCTGAGATAGAGAAAGATATCAATAACTGATGTACTATTACCATCTATCAGTAATTTATATAATAAAATAGATTCGTGACTAATTCAAAGACTAACACTCAAAATATTCATTTAATTATATTGATATTAGTACAGCTGTTATTGTTGCCAAAAAACTAATCTAATTGGAAAATAATATGCGTACCAAGAGTCAATTTCCAACATTCCTTAAAAATCAAAATCGAATGTTATTTACAAATAAAACATAAATGCAGACAGATCCAAAACATTTTGATTTTTATTAAGATTTTATGGAACTCCTGGTAGACACTGAATTTTTTTGATAAATCATCGGATGTTATGGGTATTAAAACAAATCATACTAAACAAAATGTTTCTATCCAATTTAACAATAATAAACACGCTAATCCTAATTAAATCTATGTTTTTCTGAGCATATAAACAAAAAAAGTATATCAGGTTAAACAATTTGAAATGTCTTTGTCGTGATTGTCTGGGATCTACTACATTTGCATCATAATTCGTAAGAAAACATCTGTATTACCTGAATCCATAGTACATGAATCCGGACTCTCCGCAGAAATGTATTTTGAAAATAAATTCGCGGTGAAAAATACATAATTGTAAGAAATATGTGTCTTAAATTCATGTACAAAATCTATAGTGTGAAACATTCTACTCTCACAATGCTACTTCCAGTTGTGTAAAATATCTGCCAATCACTGCCTCTACGATAAGAGCATTCTCGCAGGAGGGAATCATTTCGAACGAATTGGCTTGACATATTGCGAGAGCATTGATCTTGCCGTTTCGTTACTTCTGTATAAATAATTTTATTGTATGCAAATCTTCATGTGTCATCCAGTGTCTATCCGTGTAATTTGTTTGTGTAAATGAAATTTCGATGAAGGAGAGGAACGACTACAGCGATTTAACGTTGTTCATCGTTAAAATCCAATTAACTATTTATGAATAGGTAATATCTAATCTGATATCCAATATTAGAATATGCTAAATAACACTCATTCGTAACGAATAAATATTAGAGAACAGGCTTTCTGTAAACAAAAAAATATTCCTAGAAAAAAATATAAATATATTGCACTGTTCAAGAAATTGGTGAGATCATATTTATAAAAAATATAGTGCTTAATAAAATTTCAAATAATTTGTAAAATTTTATTCATAATTTATGCAGCAAATTAAGACAATTTCTTATTCCTCGCTTCGTTCCTCTCTTCATTCCTATTCTCTTTTTCTTTTTTTTACTCAATTCTTCCTTTCACACATGTTTCCAATTTCAGTTTCTCTTCTTTTACTATGCATTCAGTTTTCTATACATTAAAATACCATTCGACATTATAGCTCTACAACGATACATTGTAAATGTAATTAACTACTTCGAGTTGTGCAGGATGCAGAATGGGTTAGGGACAGATATTACCCTTACCGACGCTGTGCGATTAATCGATTGTTTTTAAAAATC